TCATGGGACCTGGAGAGTATAATGCGAAGCGGAATAAGCCAGTCAGGGAAAGACAAGTGTCATATGATCTCGCATATCTGGAATCTACTGAACAAAATAAACTAATCAACAACAACAACAAAAAAGAACAGATAATGTAGCTCCAGTATCTATGAGGGCCTTAGTGGCTTCCCTTTTTTTATGATAATTTCAACTTCTCCCAAACTGTCAGTGAAGAGAGGGGAAACGCCCTTGGTGAAGCCGTATTTTTGCCTCTGGTTATTTTTCTTTTTTAAAATCCCATTTTGGCTTTCTACAATCGTTTTTAAGGTGACCTGGCTTTCTGTAATAGAAACAGACTCCTCTACAATTTTCCAGCAGACCCTCATTCAGCAATTCTGTTGCCCTGCTCCCAGAAACCAGTAGGTATTTTAATTGGAATAGGCCAGAATAGCCAGCACTATAGTCTTTAACAGTAAATTAAGTTTTTTTGCAAACCCATCATTGGTCCCTGAGAAGGACCATTCTTTTGCAATCTCTGATACCCTCTTGCCTAAAACCAGCCTTTCTGGTTTTCTATATAATTGACCTGTGTTCCTCCTAGGAGCTTCTAATTTGCAATCAAGATAAATTTCCCATTCATTCAGTTTTAATTGATTATTAGAGAGAGTGGGAAGGGATGTGCAAGAGAGAGAAGCATTGACATGAGAGAGAGACATTGATTGGTTGCCTTCGCATGGACCCTGACCAGGGCCGTGCGTGGATCGAACCTTCAACCCAGGTACATATTCTTGACCAGGAATTGAACCCGCAACCCCTTGGTGTTCAGGCCAAAGCTCCAACCCCTGAGCCACACTGACCAGAGCGGGATATCCATACTTCTGAAGGTTTGTTTTGTGCCAGACCATGTTCTAGACTTTTTGCCTGTATTAACCTCATTTAAACCTTGCCATAGCCTTATGAATTATTTCCATTTTACAGTTTAGGAAAGGCATGGTGAGTAATGACTAAACTCAACAACACATCTAGTAAGTGGCACAACCAGGATTTAAACTTTGACAGTTTGGCCCCTGAACCTGTTTTCTTAACTGCTATCCTGTACTGCCTCCTCTAGTCCATTTTCTATGTGTGGACGTATGTTTTCATTGCTCTTGGGAGTGGGTTTGTTTGTGTTCCTGTTACTAGTCCAGAGTTTGTGTGCCTGACTTTTGAAAGGCCAAAACTAAAAAAATCAGAGTTTGGAGTGAAGAAAGGTTTATTGATCAAGAAGGCACAAACTGAGAAGATGGGAGCCCTAGTAGTTTCTCAGATCTGTCTTATGAAAGTACAGTTCAGGCTTCTTTTAGGTCAGGGGAAGGAAAAGGAGAGGGGCAATCAATAGAACTGTTTTCCATCACTAGAGATTGTAGAATTTTATATAAATGGATTATACAGTATATACTTGGTGTGGCTTCTCAGCATAATTATTTTGAAAATCAACCATGTTGATGAGTGTGAGTCTGTAATAGTTTTTTTTTTTGGTTTGTTTTTGAGAGAGAGTGGGAGAGACAGAGAAAGAAACATTGACGTGAGAGAGAAATATTGATCAGTGCCTCCTTGACCAGGAATCAAACCCACAACCTAGGCATGTGCCCTGCCTGGGAATTGAACCTGCAGCCCTTTGGTGCACTGGATGATGCTTCTACCAGCTGATCCACCCAGCCAGAGCAGTTCATTGTTTTTTACTGCAAGTAGCTATATACCGAATTCCTCTACAGTAATTCCCCTTATTGTGGTTTCACTTTCTGTGGTTTCAGTTACCCATGATCAATCATGGTCCAAAAATATTAAGTGGAAAATTCCAGCAATAAACAATTCATAAGTTTAAAATTGAGCTCCGTTTTGAGTATGATGAAATCTTGCGCTGCCCTACTTTGTCCTGGTTGGGACATCAATAATTCCTTTGTCCACAGTATCCACAGCGTATATGCTGCCTGCCTTTTAGTCACTTACTAGCTGTCTTGGTTATTAGATTGACTGTTGCAGTATTGCAGTGTTTGTGTTGAAGTAACCCTTATTTTACTTACTGCCACATTTACATAACTTTTATTACAGTATATTGTTATAATTATTCTATTTTGTTATCTCCCACAGATAAGACTGCTGTACCACCCTTTATTGATTTACCTGTTGATGGACTGTTGGGTTGTTTTATTATTTGTTACTGTTGTCAATCGCTTACTGTGCCTAATTTATAAATTAAACTTTATCACAGGCATGTATGTATCAGAAAAAGCACAGGCTATCTAGGGTTCAGTACTGTCTGTGGTTTCAGGCATCCACTGGAGGTCTTGGAAGGTATCCCCCATGGATAAGAGAAGAATACTGTACCACCCTTTATTGATCCACCTGTTGATGGACATTTGGGTTGTATCCAGGTTTTGGCAATTACAGATAAAGCACTTATAAACAGTCTTTCGTGGCTTACACTTTCATTTCTCTTAGGTAAATACCTAGGAATGGAATGGCTGGGTGGTATGGTAAGTTTGTGTTTAATTAAAAAAAAACACCTGCCAAACTGTATTCAAAAGTGGTTTTACCATTTCACATTCTCACCAACAACATTAGACAGTTCCTATTGCTCCATACTCTTGCTAATAACACTTGCATTTTCCTAATGAATAATGATGCTGGGCATATTTTCATGTGCTTATTTGCACTGTGTATGTCATTGGTGAAGAGAGTGTTCAGATCATTTGTCCCTATTTTAAATTGAGTTTTCCATTGAGTTTTGAGAGTTATTTGTATATTCTGGATACAAGTTCATTTTCAGATAATGTGATTTGCATGTATATCCTTCTAGTACGTGGCTTTCATTCTGTTAACAATAGTAGACATTAGTAATTTTGATGAAGTCCTGTTTATCACGTTTGTATTTTATGTATCATACTTTTACGTTTTATCTAAGAAATCTTTGTCTAAGCCAAGGCCACAGAAGTCTTCCCCTATGTTTTCTTCATGAAGTTTCATAGTTTCAGGTTTTACCTTTAGTTCTGTGATCCATTTTGAGTTAATTTTTGTACATGTTATGAGGTGTGGATGTTCAGTCATTCCAGCTGCATTTGTTGAAAAGGCTGCCCTTTCCCCACTGAATTGTCTTTGCACCTTTGTGGAAAATCAGTTGACTAAATATGTATAGGTATATTGAATGCTGACTTTTGAACATAATATGTATTTTCATTTATTTGTCTTCTTTACCTATCAGTTGATAACTTATTCCTAATTATTTCATATTTTCTGATGGCCCTGTAAATAACATTATTTTAAATTTCAGTTTTGATTGTTCTGTGAACATTTGTTCTATACAAGTAGTTGTTTTTGAGTATTGATCTGGTAACTCCTGTAACCTTCCTAAACTCACTTATTCTAATCATCTTTCTGTTTTCTAATTTCATTTTCAGATTAAGCATAGTGCCCTGGTTCATTTTAAGTTTAGATGTGAAGAACTGTGTAAATTTACAAATTGTAGTGCATCAGTACCTTGCCAGGAGTGGTATGTGGATTCCCCACCATTTTGTCTTCATTTTTCTTTAATGAAATACTAATATTCCTCATAACATGGAACCTTGAAATTTCAAGCTACCATTATTTAAATCGTTGAATTTATAGGCGATTTCAGGAAAGTAATTCTGAGGAAAGAATTGTTTTGTTTCTCTAATGAGATTCTAAGTGTCTGTTCAAATTATATATGTCAGAAGGAAAATCAACTACCTTGATGATGGTTGTGGGAGGCTGAGGGAGAGTATTTGATAAGGACTTTGAGATTTGAGGCTTAAGCACTAACTACATGGATTATTGTGATTTACTGAGATGAGAAAGTTTTAGGAAGCAGTGGATTTGGGATTATCAATTCATCTTGGACATACTAGATTTTAGGCCTGTTTGCTGATTGTGTTAAGTGCTTATGTGTTTATTTAGAGGCCTGTAAATGAAGAAATATATTTTAGAGAGGTTAAAAACAGTCCTGAGGTCACACAGCTAGTTGTATATGTACAATAGAACTCAAACCCAGGGCCCTCTGACTCCAAAGCCAATGTGGTTATCCCTGTGCTGTGTTGTATCTTCAAGGCGAAAAACATGCTTGGCTTTGATAGTATTAAATATTGCCTGTGAGCTATTATAAAGAAATAGCAGCGTTTGCAAGCTCAACAGGACCAGACAGTTAACCAAGCCGGTTTATGTATAAGAGAGTGATGATATCTGTGGAGCTCTGCAAAGCCATGTCCTATCTGAAGGATTAGCTGCTAGTCAGCTCCAACAGATTGTTACCATGTGTGAATGTGGGCCCAGTATTGTCCGATGTGCTGTTTTTTTCTCAAGAGACTTCAGAAATCATGATTTTTATGTTGTCTTATTTATAAAGGTAGGCACAGATCTTTCAACACACTGTGTAGGCCAGCCTTGTGTGGGTTCACTAAACAAACGTGTTGGATTCTACCCAGTGGGGAACCTTTGGTAAATGCTGCACCTGGCCCTGGCTTCTGTGGCTTAGTTGGTCCTCTGTGGCTTAGTTGGTTGAGCTTCATCTGGTGCACTAAAAGGTTGCCGGTGCAGTTCCAGGTCAGGACACATGCCCAGGTTGTGGGTTTGATCCCCTTTGGGGTGCATGCAGGAGACAACCAGTCCATGTTTCTCAAATCAATAAAAAATATATATTTTAAAAAGAGCTGCACCTGGTACACTGTGGCCACTGTGATAAATTTGTATGATGGGAAAAGGGTGGTAACTGCAATAAGCACATTACAACCTTTGAAATAGTACCGGTTGCTTAGTTTGAACATGGTGCTTAGTGAATTTGGTGTTTAAGCTCAGTTTTCATATGAGTCAGTTAATTATAGATGAGGGTGGGGAGAATTGCTCCCTGCAACATTTTGCCTCCTAATTGTATGCTTTCATTTACAGGTAGGGCCAGTTGTCTGTTAATTTCTGAGTGAAACCTCAACCCAAGTGAGAAGAAACCTTCAAGGAACAGCTACTGACAGTGAGTCCTGCTGTCATCTCTATGCATAATATGAAATGTTTTCAACCCAGAGACAGCTGAGTGAGTGACTGTTGACAAGGAGTGGTGAGTCTGAATATCCCCACTGAATCCTTTCCTTAAAAAGAGGACTACTGCCCAGCTGGTGAGGTCAGCGGTTGAGCATCCACCTATGATCCAGGAGATCGTGGTTCGATTCCTGGTCAGCGCACATGGCCGGGTTGCTGGCTCGATCCTCAAATGGGGGGGGAGGGGTGCAGGAGGCAGATGATCAATGACTCTCTCATCATAGATGTTTCTCTCTCTCTCCCTCTCCCTTCTTCTCTCTGAAATAAATAAAGATATATTTAAAAAAAAGAGGACTACTGCTCCTGTACATTCTTAGCATTTACTGTTAAATAGTAAGTTAACTTTTGTATGAGAATGACAACAGTCCAATTTAAGAGAATTCTTTGCCCCTAACAGTGTGCTTTATGTATGATTGCAGTTTCTCTTTCTTCTTCCATTGGGCACATCCTTTTCTTTGCCCCTGTTGTTTCCTTTTTTATTTCTTCCAACAGTCCAAATCATACCATCCTTTAAGGCCTGTCTCCTTGAAATATTTAGCTAACACTGTTGGGTGTTCATCCCATTTAAGGCTTCTCTGTTTAGTGACTTTAGAAGGTGAAATGAATTAAATAGACCAAGCCCCTGCCATCTTTTTACTGCATGGTTTGCAGATGACTTAGAGCTCTATATTTTCCCTTTACCTTGCTTGATCAACCTGAGGATTGAAACAAAAATGTGTCCTAGCAATCTTCCTTTGCATCCTCTTTTAAAAAAAAAAATTGGTGCCCATCAATCCACCAACAGTTTCTTAGAAATTACTGCTTTATTTATTGGAATTATTTTCACTTCCTCATTTCTCAACTCTCAATTTCCTCAATTCTCAACTTGTGGCATTACATTGGATATAGTAAGCTGCAGCATTAAAGGCATGCAAAAGACCACACAGCAGGTCACCAACTTCGCGAACAGAAGATGGCTATAAAACCAGATCATCTTTAAAGACATAGAATGGCTGAGCCCACAAAAACAACAAAACAGTTCCACCAAACAGTCCCCGAGTCCCAATCCCCATTGCCCCACCAACCCACCATCAGGTCCATCGTGCCATGCACATTTTGGATTGTTCATAGAGGAAGAATCCGAGTCCAAGAATCCAGACTCTGTCGTTAGACGTTTCAGAACCGATAGCTGAAGAAGTTACCACAGAAAAGTTGCATGAACGAGGAGGAAAAGAAGTAACAAGCCACTTGACAGCCCATCAAGTGATCCCGAACGTGCCATCCACAACAAATCTGTCTTGATACTAGAGTGATCCAAGAGGAAGATGAATGAACTACATGCAAACATGGGCAATCAGTTGAAGCTTCTTGATGCCAAGATGACATGATGAGATGAAGGTGGATAAACTCCAGAGAGATACTTCTTTTTGTTTTGTTTTGTTTTTTTCTAAATATATCTTTATTGATTTCAGAGAGAGGAAAGGAGAGGGAGAGAGAGAGAGAAACATCAGTGATGAGAGAGTCATTGATCGGCTGCCTCCTGCATGCCCCCAACTGGGGATCGAGCCTGCAACCTGGGCATGTGCCCTGACTGGAAATTGAACCCCTATCACCTGAATCCTAAGTCGACGCTCAACCGCTGAGCCACGCCCGGCTGGGCGAGATGTTTCTTGTAAATGTACTCAAAGTCAATGCAAGGAACTCCACCAAAGGGTGCCTTCTACTCAAGTGTGGTAACAGATAAAACTAGGCCTTCTGCTGTAGCTGCCTCTGCTATATTACCTCAGCGTACAGAGGAAGATTTCTATAAAATCTGGAAAAAATGGTTCACGTAACACATGTACTGAGCCAGCAACTATGTTCTGCAGCAATATACTCCATGAACAAACTCTTTATGCTTAGAGGTCTTATCCTTATTACAGCCATTACACACTATAGATGACATCAACAACAACAAAAAAATGAGGTAGTGGTCATGGTAGTTACCAGCATCCGTTCTGATCTTGTTTATAGTAGGTCTCATCCGCCAATGGGAAATAAAAGAGACGTCTGCAAGAGACTTCTGGGAAGGGATTTTTTTACTTTTGAGAAAGAAGAGATGGTATCTCTTTTCCCTACAGCTTGTTTTACCTGGATGTAGCATCTGTAACTGCTGTATTCATCTTGGCTACTAACCTGAAGGTGATTCCCTTCTGTAAAGAAGGGCAGAGGCGAGACAGTTGCACAGACTAGAACTGGAACTCCATTTAATAGAACCTCCCTTAATTGTGGGTTCCTTGTTACATGAGATAATACATTTATTTACTGTTTAAGTAATTTTACCCTTAGATGCTGTTACTTGCTCTGGAAATCATCCTGATTTATTTGATATTTCCCCCTTTTGATTACACAGTCTTTTTGTGCCTCATGCATTTCTACTTGATTATGTTCTGTGCTTTCTGGTAATGTATGTTTGTGTATATTGCCTTTTGTAGCACATTATACTCTTCGTGAAGTCAAGGGCTATGTTTATATTTTTACTGTGTCTAACACTAGTACTGTCTTAATAAAGGCACCAGTGCATATTTACTGAATTGAATTAATTGAACAGTGTTTGCAAACCAGTTCACAGAATTGAATGATTATAGAGATTTTCTTTTAATTCACATTCTTTTCTTTAACCACACTGTTTCCCTCTAGAATTATGAATGAAGTTTGGCTTTTGATTTAAGATGACTGGTGTGTAATACATGGTGAAGTGGTTAGTTCTACTCTAAAAATGTTGCTTGGATTTAGCCTTTTGTGTTTGTTGAACTTTACGTGAAAATGAGCTCCTGTCTTATATGAGTATTGCCTTTCAATCTAATAAATTTTGCATTCTTCTCTGTCGTAAAAACAGAATAGTTTACATTCTGTTTTCTGTGCTAATTATAGAAATGAAGGACATGGATAGTAAGAAGCATAATCAGGATTAATTTGTTTATTTGGCTTTGGAATGTGCATTCGCAAAAAACTCGCTAAAGTGTGCATCTCTGCTCTGTTCTTTTAGAACCTAATTGTGTGGGGCGAGGAGGAAGTGGGAAACTTGAGGGCAGGGGAATTTTGGTGATCTAGTATCTGGTGAGAGGAGTCTTGAGTTACAGGATGGATTATTTATTTATTTTTAAAATATATTTTTATTGATTTCAGAGAGAGGAAAGGAGAGGGAGAGAGAGAGATAGAAACATCAATGATGAGAAAGTCATTGATCGAACCCGCAACCCGGGCATGTGCCCCGACCGGGAATCGAACCCCGATCGCCTGGATCCTAGGTGGACGCTCAACCACTGAGCCATGCCCAGCTGGGCCAGGATGGATTATTTAGTTGCTTATATTTCAAAGCTGTATGAAATAAAACCTTTTTTTTTTTTTTTTTTTTTTTTTGCCTAACTCAAGACATCCACGTACTCTTCTATCTTTTCTTTAAATTCTGCCATTATAATCTTGAAAAATTGGTATAAGAGCCTCTTTTTCTTCCTGAAAAATCTATGGTGTTGCTTTCAGTTCTGTTAAGAAGGAGAATTATAAACCTGCGTTGCAATCTGTAGCACATTCTGAATCCTTCAAAAAGTAATTCACATTCAGGGAAGGATTTACTTTTTTATTTTGTCTTGATGGGTTATGTTTAAAGTCTGGGGGAGTAACTTTAAGAGAATGGAAAGTTATATGATGTACTTGACCCATCAGTTTTAATTTGGTAATACTATCATTTAGTATTATAAAAGGTTTAAATCACTAAGATTAGCTTTAATGTATGTTATGAAGAGACTGTAGGAATGGAACATGTGTTTTAACCTAAGGCTATCATGGCAAGTGTGGATCTAAGCCAGATCAATCAGAATAATGAGATCTTGGGACAGTTGCTAGAAATACTGGGATAAAGGCACTAATTTTTTCTGCTGAATTTCAGCCTGAAAATGTATAGTCATTAAATTCCTGGCAGCTGTCCTCTGACTATTAGAGGAAAGTCCATTGAATAAGAAGCCAACAGAGGAGGAGTAATGCAGAGGAAAAGCACTCCCCTAATCAGATCAGTTGAGCTGCTGGATCAAGTCTTCCCCCAGATAGTATACCTCTAGACTTCTCAGTTACATGAGCCAATAAATTACTTACTCTTAACCCAGCCGGCTTTGGATTTTATCTTTCATGTATATGAGAACATCCTAACAGATACATCTTTATTACCAACCATTCAACACTAATGATAACTCAAGGGATTTACAAAAACTTGAATTGTGAATTCAGCAAGTAGGTATCTGATGCAGGTGTGTGAGGTGGCAGATAATACAGTTCATTCATTGACTTATTTAAGAATTCAAGTATAAGTATAAGAGGTAAGGTGATAAACAAATGTTATTGCTAATGGAGCTTATTAACCGGAAGAGGCTAATACTACGTGAATACTACTACTAATGACTGGGTTCTTATTAACAACTCAAGGTTCTAGAAAAAAAGTATTAGCTCTTTGGAGGAGACTCCTATTGAAGCCTTGGCATCTCTAGAATTGTAAAACAAATAATTGTGGGGAACTTGGAATCTGGCTAACTTAAAAAAAAAAAATGAACGTTACTAATTTTTTTCCCTAAGAAGGCATTAGAAATGTACAGGACTGCAATCCTTTATTCAAAATATTGGGGCCAGATATGTGTTGGAATTTCAGGATTCTTTGGATTTCAGAAAGGTTAACATGGTACATATACTGTATATTTAATGTAATACCTTTTTACTTAAGGAAGGGACAAGTGGCTTTTTATTATTAATAATGTAAATAATAATACCTTACATTAGTTGAACTACTAAATGCCAGGTTTTGTATACTTTTCAGCATTTATCTTAACTAATAATTAGATGACTTTATCAAATTTTATGTAGCTAAGAAGTAGTAGAGATTCTAACCCATGTTTTTTGACCCTGTCTGTGCCCTTAACCACTGCTGTGCTGCCTCTTCATTGTGCTGTGCTATATTGCTTAAACTCATCTGTTTATTGTTAACATTAGGAATATTTTTTCTTTTTTGTCAAG